AAGTTTTTTGAATATATTCCTCAGATCTTGAGCGTAAGTCGCTGTGGCTTGACTTGTTTGGACGGAGTGTGGGGCTTGGGGTCTTTGAGAGAACTACATGCCGCTGGTAATCGCCTCCAAGACTTACAGCCTTTGGCCGCCCTTCGGAAGTTGCACACGCTCAACTTGGCAGGGTACGTATTGACCCTTGCTAATTGCTGGCAGGCTAATCCAGGAAGATAAAGGAGAGAGGTTTTATTTATTTATTATATTTATTAGGTATTTCCAGTTTAGTGTTTACACACTGTTTAGAACCGTGAAACTCTCTATTGTATAACACTGTAATTTATAACAACTTGGAAATAAATGATTAATTATACTTATAATTATTAAATAAAGATCGAACACTAAGAAAAACTGCTTCTATTTCCTTTTTTTTTATGAGATCTGGTAACGGCGCGTTCCCACTACCTAAGTCGTAGCGTTTTATTTATCGTTGGACGACTGTCGCGTCTAGCCTGTTCCGATATCACGACTATCTGTCTTGACTGTGTTGTAGACGTTTATTTTATTGTTGAACGACGTTGTGTCTAGCTGTTCCCACTAGATCGTGACGACAATTTATCGGTTCACGGCAGCCGCCTTGTCGTTGCACAACATAATCGTTTGAAGCTCCGATTTTATTCTTTATTGCACCAAATAAAATACATTAGAAATATTAGATTAACCAAAAGTGAGCAAAGATGGACTTATCATTAAAAGAGATCTCTTCCAGCCTTTTATTTATCGTCTGACGACAGTCGTTGTAGCTCTTCCCGTAATCGCGACAGTCTGTCGCCGTAACGTAAAAAACCTCGTGAACGACAGTTAATCGTGTTGTACTATATTGTGTGAACAACTTCATTTAAATATTCAAGCCGCGACACTTTAAACTGCACGACTATTTGTCGTCACGACACAATGGGAACGCGCCCTGATGGGACGAACAAGTCGCCCATCTGTAGGGCAAGCACGATAAAGCACGACTCGCGCGAGAACGACATATTTGCTATTCTCGCGTAGAGATCTGGCGGTTTTTGTCGCTCTCGCGCTTGTCGCGCCCTGTCGTGCTAGCCCTGCTGGTAGTGAGCGACATGACTGACCATGACGGTTGCAGTACCACTCAGTGTTTTAAATGACAAAGAACTGAGGGGCACTGCCACTACGCCCGTCACCCTGAGACATAAGTTGACAAGTCCCATGTGCCTGTAAATTCACCATTTGGCTGAATTCGAACCATCAGCGTCTCCAGCATACCGTTTCTGACATTCTTCCAACTGAGCTACGGAATGAACCAGCAGACCTTACGAATTTTACTATGTGCTTGTTTTTGGTTTTGCAGATCTTTGTTTTTGGTTTTTAACTACTTTTTTGCCGTAGCGCCCCTCTGTGAGAAATCTATGAAAGTTTTTCATCGCTCCGTCAGGTACCTTTACAGCTACCAGTGGCTGACTAGAGATGTCGCTTTAATAATTGCAATTTCAAGTTATACTTATAATAATTAATTATACAAACCTCTAGTAACCCGATATCGGAGATTAATCGGCTGTGGACTCTATCTGTGTGCACATCCCTACGACGTCTTACTCTGCAAGGGACTCCAGCATCTGACGAACCGGACTACCGCACACGTGTTGTTATGTCTCTGCCCATGTTGATACATTTGGATGGTCTACCATTGCTTACAGATACGGAAGGTGAGTTCTAACAGAGTGTAAAATATCCTAAAAAGTGTATGCTGAACAACAATAATGTCTTAATATTACATTTTACAGTTATTGTCATAATTATAACCACGTTATGATTACTGACTTATTAAATCCTTGTGTGTCCATGTAGTGTTATTGAAAATGAAACATGTTACACCTGGTTTTTTATTATACTAAGCGACGGAACTAACAAGTCGTGCGCCTGGTGGTAAGCGACACGCCTGTCGATAATAATTGCTGTGCCACTCAGAGCTTTAAATTGCAAAGGTCTCAGGGGCACTGCCACTGCGCCCGTCACCCTGATACATAAGTTGACAAGTCCCTTGTGCCTGTAATTTCACCAGCACTCTTAGCCTTCTAAACCGGAACGCAATAATTCTAACATTACCGCTTGGCGGAAGAACAGGTAGCGTGGCACTACTACACTCGATGAACTCTTTCATAAGTTGTCAACTACCGCGAGCGTCGACTTTACCTTGCAGCTTGTGCAGCGCACACGGGCATGGGTATTAAGGGACACCGCGTAAACGGGCTATTGCTTCCCAACATCATTTATAATTGCATCATTTGCACCCGAATTTCCGATCATTGAGGAAAATATAATTGTACCTAAGTATTCCATTTGGATCGTGTGCCTACTAGAGGGCGCCAGGCTATTGATTGCACTGGGGCTCTATATATCTCCAACAAACACTACGCCAACTTAATTTTTGGACCTGTTCTGTTTTTATTTCGCTTTTTTTTCTATAAAATTCTTTTTTTGTTCTCTCTCTTTTTTCGAATTTTGTTTTTATTATATTAGTAAATCATTTAAACATGGCTGTTTACAAAAATAACAAAAAACGACCAAAAATAAAGTTGGTGTAGTTTTCATTGGATATGCACTTAGGCTAGCGCTGGCGCAGACTACCGCTGGCCATCAGTCATCCTGTGATCATGTAGCGTGTGACCGTGGTAAGAAACTTGTAAGTATTGATAATTTTCTTATTATTAAATTATAATAAACTATATTATGTGTATATTATGTGTAACGCAGACGAAATCGAGAACATGTTCGATGAAGCATCGTCGGGTTCTGAGTGTGAAGAAGAGGAACTGCCCCTATCAAAGCCGGAACCACCGCAGCTGCCTGATAAACTAGCACCTGGAACTTCACATGAGGTTAATAGGCTGATATATTTGTCCGGACTATTGTAGGATAGTTGTAACTGAAAAGATTTCATGTCCTCATATTAATTGCTTCTTGATGACGAAGTTTTAATAGCACCACCACTTTAGGGTTCAAAAGTGACTGTTACCAATATTTTTACCATGAGTTCACGTTCATCGCTAGCGCCCGCGTAAAGAATTTATATCTAAAATGTTATTTACTCTTGAGACCACTAGAGGGCGCTGTACCAATTGCCATAAAATGATCGGACTTTAAGCGATAGCTAGCGACAACTGTCACAGTATAAGCTCATGGTAGAGGTACAGCTCTTAACTAGGAGAGCCTGTATTTACACTTGTGCTTCTATAGACGCTTTTTTATAAATATTAATATTTAAGTAAACATTATAGTGTATTTATTATAAACATAGTGTCAAGCATTGTAATGTATCCATCGATTTTTTTTATAATACCAAATGACGGGACGAGCAACAACAAATGACAGTTGCAGTGTCACTGAGAGCTTTAAATCGCAACGATCTTAGGGGCACTGCCACTGCGCCCGTCTACCTGATACATAAGTTGACAAGTCCCATGTGCCTGTCATTTCACCAGCACCCTTCCTTACCCTTGCAAACCGGAACCCTGAACGGCAGAAATATGTACTGAAAATGCAAAGAGAAGACCAATTTTAAAGTATATCATTTTGATTTAATATAGATAATCAAATCTGCCCGTTCTTATTAAAATTTGCATGAATAAAAATTGATTTCGATACCAGTTGACCTACTGTCAAAATAAGTATAAAGAAGGCAATTAGTAATTATTAGAACAGCGTAACATTCACAATTCAGAAATTTTTTCACAATTTTACCTGCTTTCACAATCTATCGATAAAACTGTCGACAGTAACTACATGACTATTTACAATTTTATGAAAACTGGCTATCCTGCGAATATCATTTTACTCCGTCTTCAAAAAAGACAGAACATAATTTTTCAATTCTATTTTGGAGTTATAATGGTTTTTCTATGTAATTAAAGAATAATATATATTATGCACAAAGGTTAATAAAACTTTCTAGATCAGGTTTTTGTTTTTATGTATGAATATTATTAACTAAATTAATCGTAATTACGTATGGAATATGCAAGGGAAACTATTTTTAGATTATTGCTAATATTTATAACGTGGCAACAAAAAAATGTGGGTTTTGAGACTATGCCCAGAACCGGTTTACGTTGAACTTGTTCTACACTAACAGCTGATAGGATACAATATGGTTTTGCTTAAAGACAGAGCATGAATATTAACGAGTATTTATTATTTATTCTACGAGATCACTTGCCGTCTAAATTAAAACTATGTCAATCAATCAATTTACTTATTTGTCAGAATATGGTAGTACATTACGATCTTATTTTAAATATATCCTGTTTTCTACCATAAATATTACATGTCATATGATGTCATTCAACTATTTACTATAGTTACAATCAATCAATCAAATTCATCTATTTATTACAATTAATGAAATTATCAAATGTTGCAAATAAACTAAAATCACGAAAGATACTTATGTAATCTGATAAACAACATTATGAATAATATGTCATCAATTAGCGCCATGAACTCTGTCATGGAGTAAAAAGTACTATTTATTTAGAAAGCTAACAGTTGTCTTTTATATTCATTAAAATTATTAATCATTCTGATCTCCTTTGGCAAATTATTATAATATTTTGACGTCATAACATATTAGGGTGCTTATAGATCTGGCGAAGGGGTTGCAAATGCGCGTGTTTGCGAAAGGCTCGCGAGCTGCACACGTTGCAACGTAATGCACAAACATTACGTTGTGCGATCTGTGCAGCTGTGCAGTGCGCTAGCAGCGCGTGCGCAGTGCACATGCAGCGCGTTTGCCGCGCACTCGCCAAATCTGTACGCAGCCTTATGCAGCTTTACTAAATAGCATAGTCCTGTGTGATTCTATCCTTATCAATGTAATCAACTGTATCGACAACAAGTTACAATACAAAATTTTAAGTATTTTGAAAATTTCAAAAGATTTTGATATTTAGCTTGATATATAATATACATACCATCCGCCTGTCTCCCACCGGGGCAGGCAGATACGCTCCTGATAAACCGCCTTCATACATTATTCTTTGTTTTTTACCACATCAGCAGCCACACAGTATAAAAAACAACCTTATACCTAAGTACCTATTTTGTAAATTTTATTTCAAGGTGTACTAGGTACCTTATTACACTTATTAACGCAGAATTAGTTTGAGCCGGTCGGAAAAAACTTTATTTTTGTTTTTATTTATTTTTATTTTATTTTATGCGGAACAACAACAGCTATAAATAACGATTTAAAATGTATATTTTAAGGTAAAGCTAGTCAGCGCCAATTACAGTGGTCCACATTCTCATTTTCAAGTATCTAAACTACGGTAAAAGTTAACACCTCAAAAAGAAAAAAATAAACACAAAAGTATCTACAATAAGAAGTATAGCAAATATAGTAAAGCGATGTATTTTTCAACCCACTTTAAAAAATAGAGGTTTTCAATTCGACTGTTTTTTTGTATGTACGTTACGCGATGACTCCGGCTTTTTGTGATCCGTTTTTTGAACCGAATTTGATGATTTTTTTTCTTGGATAGAGGGTACCTCAGTAGTGGACCCACTTAAATTTGAAGACAATATTCCACCTAAGGGTGGCAAACTAGGGGAGGAATGACTTTTGAGGTCGGTTTTTTTTGTACTCTATACTGAGATTATAATTTATATATTCGAGTCAGGCAATGTTCGTGTTTATGTCTCGTACGCACAGCATTGACACGACGTCCACGCGACCGCGACGCAACGCCGTCGCCGCGTATGTCCCGGCGATCGGAACTATCGTTTAGTCGCTCAGTGCTGGAGTTGCGTCCACAAATTAGTTAGAGACCCCCCACACTAGCGACTTTCGAGTGTTAGCGTCTTACCAACGTACGCACAACGTCGACACGAAGTCCGCGCGGCAGCGACGTTACGCCAGCGCGGCGTATACCCGACGTTCGGCATTATTTAGAGGGTCTACTCTCATTCTCTGTCCAACATCATTCCGAAACAATTACTGTCAAATAAGTAATACTCGACTAAATCAAAACAACGGGAGTAGATTCTCAGCAGTCGCTCTCTGACTCTCTCGTCGTGTTTACGTTGGCAAGACGCTGACGCTCGAAAGACGCTAGTGTGGGGGTCTCTAACGTCTTTATTGCTTTTACTACATGGATATGAACCTTTTCTAGACCGGCTTGAAGCAAATCCAGTAGCTTAGTGTAATGATTCCCTAACACGTCGGTCTGTCTGTTTCTCAATCAAGTCAATAGCTGAAAATCCGGAAAGCGACGTCGGCGGTCCTGAAAACTTCGATACCGCAAACAATTTGCCCAAAATTCAACATTGTCGGCGTCCAGCCACCACAGAAGGTGCAGGATTAAGACCTTTGCGACCGAATATCCCACCGCGACCAAAAACTGCTCAAGAACGACCTACTGTTGATGCTCCAACGAGACTACAGATTTTAAACACTCTCATGGGTAAGTTAATTGTAGTAGTACATTGTGTATTATGGGCGGTAAATAAGAAATTACTAACCAGAGTTTGTTAGAAGGCCGAAGCTGAAGGCTGAGGGCTTTAATGGCACGAGGTTTGTAATGTTTACCGCTCGTGCTACATACAATGTTTATTATCACATTTGCGAAATAAAAAACGAAATAGATACAGCGATAGTTTATTTCTTGTATGAATGAAAATCGCTTCACAACCCGACATTTACGGATTTTGTAAATGGCGGGATTTTTGTTTCTTTTTTTTAAATAGATTGCCAGCTACTCTTCCATAGATAATACCACTAGAACTAAAATGTTATAAAAGGTGTGCCTTTTATAACATTTTAGTTCTAAAAAGCATGCAGCCTAAATGTATTAGATATAAAATAAGTAATTCTCAAATTCTAAAAATGCAGAATTTGAATTTACACAATATATTTAGGAAAATATAATTAAATTTTGCAAACGTTTCATTTTTTTTTATACATCAAATTAAAATATACGTTCACATTTTTCGAGCATGAAAACTTTTAATCTTGACGTAAAAAATCCGTAGGGCGATAATTTATTGAAAAAACCCGTGGGCATTGTTTAGGACATTACAGCCGACTTTACCTGACACTGTTTATGAGCAAGTGTGATAAAAAAAGTACTTACTTTAATTTCAAGTTGATGATAGAATAAAATTATACAAATAAATAAACGGATTTGGAGCTCAATCTTATTATCCTTAGTCCATCATTGTGAATGTAGCAAGAGCGTCATGTGCTGACGTCACTATCACATCTCACATCTAAAAACCAACTCCCCTAGTCTCCATCTAAAAACTTATCTAATTTCTTCTGGCTAGACGAAGAATGGCGTTGCAGTGGGAGCAAGCTGACATCTGCTGGAACAGTCTGTGGGAATCTTGCTCAAGCTCTACGAAGACCTGCTTCGGCGCGGCGATGTACACAAGGTTCGATATTTTGCCTATGTTTTTTTTTGTTTGTGTGCTTATGATTTTTTTGTCTATAGGTATCAAGTGACGGGACAAACAAGTCATGTGCCTGGTTTTTTTTTTTTTTTTTTTTTTTTTATTGTGACTCGGCAAAATGACTGCACCGCGCCTGATGGAAAGTGCGAATACAGTCCAGAGATGAGAGTAACGGATGGAAAACACAAATATCTTCACTCCGTCACTATCATTTTGCCGGTCTGGCCAAATGCTTCTTCACACTACGTTTGAAGGACCCGATGTTATAGAGGGGAGGGAATACATGCGCCGGGAGTTGGTTCCACAATTTGATGGTTCGGCATAAAAACGAATTGCCAAACTTTTTAGTGCGGGACGGTATTGAACTGACCGTCCAACTGTGGCAACGCAGTCCGGCACGGGTGGTCCGCTGATGGAAAGGAGAGGAAGGGACAAGGTTGAATAACTCTTCAGAGCACTCACCGTGGTACAGACGATAGAATACGCTAAGAGACGCTATATCTCTGCGAAGCTGTAACGACTCCGCATGCTCAGTTACATGAGGATCGTTGACAACACGGAAGGCGTAGCGCTGCAGTCCATCTAGGGCATCGAGCAAGTACTTGGCAGAGCCGTCCCAAAGGTGCGAACAGTACTCCATGCTGCTTCGGACCTGAGCTTTATACAACAGGTATCGCAGCTCTGGAGTAAAAAATCGGTGCACCTTGTTCAGGATGCCAAGCTTGCGCGACGCGGTACAGATGACGCTCTCGATGTAATCTTTGTTGCTCATGTCCTTCCGGATGCTCATCCCCAGCAGACTGAGCCTGTCCTGCAGCGTCAGCGTTGTACCCTGAAGATGGGGAAGTGGAAGGAATGGGGATTTTTTGGAGCTGAACGCGCATACCTGGGTTTTCTTGGCGTTGAACTCAACCAAGTTTCGGGAGCCCCACGACGATATATGCTCCAAAACATGGTTGAGCTCAGCGACAAGTTTTTCCCGGTTTCTCTCAGGGTCCTCCCGGGTACTTGACGATTGCTTATAATAGCAACCGTGCACTGTGCTATCATCTGCATAGCAATGAATGTTGCCAAAAGGCAACAAGTCATTGATATGCAGAAGGAACAGCGTGGGCGACAGCACTGAGCCCTGTGGCACCCCAGCATTAACTGTCACGAGCCGCGAAGTGCCTCCGTCAACAAGGACACGCAATCTTCGCTCGCGCAGAAAGCCGGAGATCCACTCACAAAGGCGGCCGGGAAGACCATATGCCGGAAGCTTGGAGAGGAGACCACGGTGCCAGACCCGATCAAAGGCCTTAGCAATATCCAGACTTATCGCTAAGGTTTCGCCCTGTTTGTCGATAGCTTCACCCCAGAGATGCATTAGATACGCTAGAACGTCACCCGTTGATCGGTTCGGCCGAAACCCATACTGCCGATCATTAAGAATGGAGTGACGTTCCAGGTGCCGGATTATCTGGATATTTAGAATCCGCTCCATCACTTTGCAGAGCACTGAAGTGACAGCTATTGGGCGATAGTTTGTCGGATCAGACCGATCTCCTTTCTTGGGGATAGGTTGCACGTTGGCCTCCCTCCAAGCTAGGGGCACGTTACCAGATTGGTATGAGAGGCGGTATAAGCGCGTCAGTACGGGAGACAACTCCGCCGCACACCTTTTAAGGACGATAGGAGGTATCCCATCCGGACCATAGGCTTTCCGCACGTCAAGAGTCTGCAATTCCTTGCGGACATCACATTGTCTGATAACTATATCAGGCATTGTGACTCCGCAGTGGGGAATTGACGGCGGTTGCGCATCTTGGTCGTGAATGCGCGAGTTAGCCCCAAAAAGGTCGGCCAATAAATTGGCTTTCTCTTCGGGGCCATAGGCCAAAAATCCATCGGGATACCTCAAAGGCGGCAGCGACGAACGACAAAAATTGGACTGCACGGCTTTGGCCAGGCTCCAGTAGGCACGGCTACCGGTGGGATGGGCTACTAGCTTCTGGCCAATCCGTGAAACGCGCTGGGCATCCGCTCTTATGTA